ACTCATTCCATGTGAAAACAGTCCACACAATTATGGAGCCACCTACAGTTTTTAGAGGGCCTTGTTGACACCTTCGGTGCATGTCTTCGTAGGGTCTGCGCCACTCTCCAACCCTACCATTAGCTCTTATCAACTGAAATCCAGACTCTTATGACCAAGCTACGGTTTTCCAGTCGTCTAGTCCAGTCAATCGATGTAGTCAAGAGTCCAGGACAGTCGCGCTGTTAACAAAGGCATTCGAGTCGAGATTCTGCTGCCATAGCCTACTAAAGTCAAATGTCGCCACACTGTCCTAACGGATATATTCGTCGTACATCCTATATTGATTTTTGTGGTTATTTCATTCAGCGTTGCTTGTCTGTTAGCACTGACAACTCCACGCAAATGCTGCCCTCGGTAAAGTGAACGCCGTCGGCCTCCCCGATGTCCGTGGTGAGCGGTTATGTCTGACATCAGTTACTCTCGACACACTCTTGACACTTTGGATCTAGGAATATTGAATTTTTTCCGAAATGGAATGTCCCATGCGTCTGTCTCCAACAACTATTTCTCGTTAATTCTCGTCGCGCTGCCGAAATCACGTCAGAAACCATTTTCACACGAATCATTCGAGTATAAATGAAAGCTCTGCGAATGCACTGCGATTCTACACCTTTTGTACGCGATACTACTGCCATCTGTATATTTGCGTACTAATATCCCATTACTTTTGTCGCCTCAGTGAACATGAATTATTCACTTTTTCGATATCAGGGACCTGCAACACAAAATTTTCTAACGCAAAATCGTGTTTTTGTGCTGCAGCATTATATAGTTGTCTCTATACTACGCATGTAGTATGCAAGAAAGTAATAAAAATGGCTGCTACAGAATGACACAGACTTTCTCGTATGTCTTACATTGATTTCTGTGGGCCTGGGTCCTTTTTTTAATAAATTATCTACGCCTGGGGATAAGGGAGAAGTGGTGAGCATGGCATTTTCCCATCACCGTAGTTCCTTCGCCTCCCTTATATTTTTCTTTCTTCATGCAGCCTTAAAAAACCGAGTCGATTTGCATTAGAAAGCTGCCTCAGTTCATTTTTCCCCGGCCGGTATTTGAATCCTCTCTCCCGACGAACTTTCAGAAAACTACCATACTGTACGCGAGGCACCCGACGGGCAGTTCAAATGAGGTTCTGTAGAATAGCACAGACTTCCTTGTAATAGTTTTCTATTATTTTAAATCTTCACTATCTTCTCGATTGTACCTGCCCTCTTCCCTGCTGCCACCTATTGTCACCTATAGGACACACACACACACACACACACACACACACACACACACACACACTGTCCATTACTCAGTCTAACTGACGCTGACTGTGTGCCTCTCTGTCCATCTCATTCTCATTTAGTTGCAGATTCTGCACATCTCTGAGCAGGTGGGGTTATATCGAGAAGCTCCGGTCCAGCAGAAACGTAATAGAATGTTCAAGACGATTTCATCCTATGGATACGGTGTGAGAAACGTTTCTTTGAGTCCTTTGGCCTAAAAATTTCAATATAAATTCAAAAAATCCAATCCATCCAATTTGTTTCCTTAATGTTTTCCTGGTATGTAAAATAGTGGTGATGGTCGCGTTTTTGTTGATTTTTCGGAATTTCTGAATTTACAAAAGTATTTTCGGGGCCTTCCTACAACTACAATAATGAAGACAATTTCTTCAATAAATCTGTTAATAAAAAAACCCGTCAAGTAAGGTTGAGTTCAATTTTTCGAAATCGAGTATATTTTGCGTAATTTAGCGGAAACAGGGCAATTTTTAAAAAAATTTAAATAATTATTTTCACACAACCAACTCGAAATATTTTCTTAATTTGTTTCCCGTATGTAACAACTAATCCCATTTGTATAGTATTATCTGTGAAGTGTTTGTAGTGGTTGTTGAACTATTGTACGAGTATGTTGGATAGTATCAGGAACAGGGAAATAATTTGGTTTAAACTTTAGTGGAACCAACCAAGTTTAGCACACAACAGGCCAGACATAATTACAGAAGAGACGATAGCGCGCGCACGCGCGCGCACACACACACAACAGGCCAGACATTATGATAATTGATAAAGTCAACGAAATAACTTACTTATTGATAAAATCCCAAATACACACAACCTTCAGTCCTCCCACACCGAAAAGTTTTCCAAGTACAGATTTAGCAATGATAATAAAAGGACAGTGAAAAATGAAGAAAGTTTATGCGATACCCTCCAATGAAATTACTTCAACACATATGCAATAGTCAAAAATTTCCTCCACAATAGTATTACTCAAGCCTAATACATATAACCCTACCTCGACACCGAAAAGTGCCGCCGTTACTTGGCACAGTTACTTCAATCCTAAGATTTTATTCAGAGACAGAATAATATAATAATAATAAAAATAGTGATAATAATAATAATAATAATAATAATAATAATAATAATAATAATAATAATAATGTAGCAAAGAACGGTAAAGAAATTGGTGCTGGTCCCATTTTCAGCGACTGTATCTTCAAAAATTTTGAACGTCAACAAAAAATGAATATTGCAAAAGTCCAGTATCGATTATTGAGGTTTTTTAATGAAATGTTCTAAAATATTATTTCTTTAAGGAAGGTCAGTTCGTTTCACAGCCACTCACATTAAGAGAGAAACAAATCACAAACAAGTCAAAATTTCTTGCTGTCAAAAATCCTGATCGGCGTGGGGATGGTCCAGCTGATTTCCCGACAGCATTGCTACAGAGGGAACGGCAAGTTTCAATTGAAACATGAAAATCGAAATGTTTTGAAACATTTTTAGTTCCGAGAGCTTGTGTCCTCTGCGCTATCCTGATTGAATCCGCTATTGTCTCGCTGCTCGTTTGCTTCACAGTGATATTCCATCCAAGCATGATTTAATTACGTACACCAAGTATTTTACATCTTTATGCATCAGGTACATGCTCCACAATGAATATTTTAAGAGTAATGTTGGAAATTAAGAATATTACACATCGTGAAACGGTTTTGTCATCCTAATTAATTGATTGATTGATTATTTCGTGTTTGTGTGCGCGTCAACTGATATGGTCATTAGTTCCGTAAGTGAAGTGCATGTTTTTATGGAAGTTGGCGGTGTTCTTGCCCTGTTGAATGGTGTGATCCGGCCCCGACCTAGAGGTCGGTTACGGGGTTTCCCCAACCAAGAAGTTCCTACCAGTGGGGCACCGCCCAGCCAGGACAAGCTCTTAGCTCCCTGGTCTCCCTACAATGTGTGGAAGAGTAGAACATGTAGGTGCGATAAATGGTGAGAATAGGACGAGGAAGGAAAGATCGCGCGCGGTCCGTGGTCCGTTTGCTCCGGCACTCGACTAATGTTGGTAGGAGAAACCACGGAAAATGACTGATCAGAGCAGCCGGTCACTAGAATTCTCCTCAAGACACCGGCTGAGTTCGACGAACCTAGCATCCAAAATCCTGACACCATCGGGACTCGAAACCTAGGACCTCCCGTTCAGAGGCACTACAGTGATTCCAGTTGATACCCTGAGCCACCGCAACTGCTTTCCTAACGATCGAAATCCTGTGATAGCAACATTTCATCTCACGAACACGTGTATCATCAATTGTTGTGCAGTTTAACTTAGAATGTGACTCTATAATACTTCTAAACTTACATCACATTATCATCATATGCATCATTTCATTATATATCTTTGGGCATATAACGGGCAGGTCCACATCTGTGCGTTCTCCGCATCATTTACATTGAATGACAGTTCTTTCAGTTTTATAGTGTGTGTCTTTTATCAACAGCAAAAAGTAACAGCAAATGAGATAATATGGATGCAAATTATTTCTCTGAGCTTCAATTATTAAGTGGTGTTTGTTTCCTGACGCGTGGACTATTAGTCCCACAAGTGCAGTGACTGTTAAATCCGAAGAGGTGGTGATGGTTGTGGTTGTGGTGGTGGTGGGAGTGATCCTTCCCCGCTGGACGGTCGGCTTGTCGAGTTTTCCGTGTCCAGATATTTTCCTCCCGTGGAGCGCTCGCCCTAATCGAACAAGTTCTAAGCTCCCATCTAGTGCAAAAGTGTAGTGCGTGTGAAGTTTGTGCGAATGTCGAACAGGGACGAGGAAGGAAAGATTGCGTACCGTCCATGTCCCGTTTGTAGGACTACGTGTACAAATTGAAAGAAGAAAAAAGAAAAAACTGGTCATAACTTGCCTCCTCACCTTTTCAAGTTTTAAATATAGAAAGTACTAATATTGATAAATTTTATGTAGTTGCTAACAGAATTGATATGTATTGTTCTAAAATTATTATTATTATTATTAATGTGATTATTATTATCTTATTCTCTTATTATTATAATAAGTTGTAGCATTAAAATAACATCGTGAGATGTTAAATTATCTGCTACTAAAAATAATTATCTACTGTAATATAATATCCTAATCTATCTGTATCAAGTATTGTAGTATAATTTCTAGGCCAATGACCCCATCTCAATCAGGTTTTGTTCAGTTTCCCTGGTCCCTTGAGCAAATGCTGAGACGGCCCCTTGTTTGCTCGTGAACAGAAATGTAACTTCGCTCTTTCCACCCGAGACATCATATTGACTTGACTCATCATATGAGATTGTAATTGTATATGTGACCCAATAAATATTATTATTATTATTATTATTATTATTATTATTATTATTGTTGTTGTTGTTGTTGTTACGGTTCTGCTCCGGCATTCGCTTGGCAATGATCAGAAAATTACTATTCACAGCAGCCGAGCGCTATAATTTTCCTGCAGACGGTGGTTGAAATAGACCGTGCTATGGAGTTAGTGTGGAAAATCTTCAATGTTCCTGGTATCAGATAAATATTTTGAAGATTATTAAAATCAATTTTCCACTAAAATATGACTGTTTATTTGACTATAGATAAGAATGCGCAGCAGTTTTGACCTTCGAACTTATAAGTCAGAAAGTCCGGTAATTTCCATTGCACTGATGCACAAACAGATAAAATGAAGAATACGTATATGCATTAGCAAGAGGTGCATTTTATGAAAAGTGGATGTTTATTCAATATCTCTTAGAACAAATTCACTTCTCCGTAGTACGAAAACATTAATTAGTTACTCTTGAGTGTTACTTTTGCTGTTACAGAATTGTTTATGAACGCAGGAAGTCACGTGAAAAAATAGTAGTTGAGAAACTTCCACTCATTCGAACGTATTTCTTGATAAACGATTTTTGTCACACACATCTTTACGAGATTTGAGCCTTCACTCACTGAGTGTCTTATCTGACAGCTTAAATTGTAGTCTGACGGGTGATAGGGCTAATCCTCTTTAACTGATATATTCCAGGCGGTCCGGGTTTCTGCTGTACTATTTCAGTAACTGCGGAAATATATTTTGACACTTATCGCGACTGGAAAGATTTCTCAGGGCGCGACCTTTGATTTCAGTTCTTAGCAAATCGTCCGCGGCACGATGGAAATGTGTCAATGAAGAATGTTCTTAAAGAGCATTTCAATGATATGGCAACTCTGCCATAGATTGAAGTGACCTCTCGGTTAGCATTGCGTATCAGTCCGTTCTTTCTTTAGCATGGATAGAAATCACACAGTCTTCTCCAGACGTCATCATGATGAAAATCGGTTTCCTCGGAGCCGGGAAAATGGCACAGGCCTTGGCAAAAGGTTTTATTGCTGCAGGTATTATTGACTTTATCTCATTTTATATCTTGTAATTAATTGATGTAATATTTTCTCTCACTTCAAAAAAATGAGTGGGTTTTTTATGTACCCAAAACAAAATGTTATCTTACAAAATAAGAAAATGGAAGAATAAATGTTCCTGTACATTATAAGAATTAAGGTTTGCTTTGAAATGCAAGTTTATTATAACCTTTTAAATTAATTGTTTTACACTCAATTGTTCTTATGTTTTTGATTTAAACTCATGATTCTCATAGTGAGCTCTACCATCTACCTACCTGCTACTTATAGATTGGAATTAAATTAGTATCTACATTAATATTGCAGGTTTAACAAAAGGAGAATATATCGTAGCAAGTTGTGCACCAAAAGATGTAGACTGTATTAAGGCCTTTGAGGTAATTATTATAATTTAATAAAATTGTTTTGTTTTGTAAATGTGTTTTGTTGGCATTGATTTGTTTGTGCTTTTTATTATAGGATAAAAATATCTTGAACATTGCACATGTGTTTTTGTTGTCATGTGTATGTTTGTCTTGGGGCCTGAACACATTGGAATAAAAATTATAACTAACTTTTCATGAGGTAGAAATCCAATACTAGATCTCTTTTACAGCAATTTTAATATTATTGTTTTGATTTATACTTTGATATAGGTTTATATTAATTAAAAGTAATAATTTCCAATGAATTATTGTTTTTTATAAACTTGTTTTATTCATTTTATTTATATATTTTATTTAAAAAATGTTAAGTATTTATTTTTTAATTAACTGTGAAAAACATTGTATTGAAAAGTCAGTACTTTCCCTTATAGTAAACTTTCTTATTTTAATTAAATAATGATTACATTGATTAAAAACTTGTATATTTGTGGTCTAAAAATAGTTTGAAAAGTTCATTTATTTATTTATTTATTTATTTATTTATTTATTTATTTATTTATTTATTTATTTATTTATTTTACATTGTAAACATTTGAAAACTGTGACTGACATGCTACAGAAAGAAGTGTATTTATTCTGAGCGTGTTTTCTTAATTTTAGGATCCCTACACCAAGCCATATACAAGTTGAATTCTGGATACAGAATACATTAAAGTTTAGATCAACAGAAGACATTTTCTTTCATAAATGCATTATGTTCTTCAAAAACATAAGCACCTACATTTATGTTCATTTTTGTCAGTAAAACATTCATTAAATGTAACTATTTCTTTCAAAATGTAATGGGAGAAAATTTCCAAATTCAATAAATTAATATGATGTGCATCACCACCTTTAAATGACAAAGTCATAATAGCCCTATGAGTAATAAATTTCTTTAGAGAATTTTTACCAAACAAAAATATTAAAACAAACACTTTGAAGTTTGACATTTTGCTTCTGTTAACATAGTCTGTCATCACTTTAAACTGCAATAGTGATAATATTTTTTGATTTATTATTAGGATTATGTTTCATTTAAATTTTATTGAAAGCATTGTTTTATTGCATGCATAAAAACCTAGATTATTATTTCTGAATAAATGTTTCTGTTTGGTTTATACCACAAGTGATTCATTTAGTCGGTTGTTAATGTATTAAGATTCACTATTTGTTATGAAAATAGTTTTTAATAATAATGCTTTTTAAAATATCTAGGAAATTGGAGCATCTGCAATACCAAATAATACAGTTCCTGTTCAAAAGTCGGATGTTATTTTCCTGGCTGTGAAACCTACTGTTGTTCCAGATGTATTGAAAGATATATCAGCATGTATAACAACTCATCACTTACTTTTATCAATTGCCATGGGTGTAAATATTGAGGATATAGAAAAGGTACTTCTATCACGTGTGTATTTACTCATTATCAAGAATATTTATTATTAATTAATATTGTATACTAGGGATGCTATATTATCCTTGCAATGTCCCAGTATATGTTGCTGTGACAATGAGGAAACTCACTTCTGAGGTTGAGAAGACCAGAATATGGCATAGGGATGTCTTTGTGCTAACATTTATTCATAGTGTAATTCTCTTCTTTGTTCTACTATTCTTTGCATGGATCCAGAACTTAAGGCACTGATTTAGTGGGTAATGATGGGTTATATTTTTTTAATGACTTCAAGCACTCTTGGTGGATCTTGTTTTTATTAATTTTTTTGGCTCAATTTCAAATCTAATAAAAAAACTAAACTAAATAAATTATATTAGTGTTACTTATACCTGAAACTATGATAATATGACCATATGTAGTTAATTTTTACATTCTGAAGCAGGAGGTTGTTCAGTCAAATTTGAACTGTGCTGACACTAGGCAGTTTATTCACAAGGGTATTAGTAGCAAGACAATGGGTGAACCTTAAGCTGTTATTGTTGAACTTCTTTTCTGTTCTTTTATAGTTTGAAAGTTCATACATTTTTGAAATTCTACAAATTCGACACTATTTGCTGAAATAAAGTTTTGTTATCTTTTGAAAATTATTTACTTTATTTAAGTAATTTCTTGCACGACTAAGATGAAACATCTCGGCATGAATATTTTTTCCAACATTTCCTAGCTTTCTTCAATATATCAAACAATTCCGCTTTAAGAAGGACATCACTACTGAATAATGTCATAAGAGCAATTCATTGTATTATTATTTTGATATAAATTGCTAAATGTAATTATTATGAGTTCCATTAAGTACATAGTTATTTTGTTAATGTTGAATTTGGCTGGTTCAGTCAATGAAATCTACCAGTGTTTTACATCATTATGAATTAAGAAGTTTTTCATTTTAATCTTATATTTTTAAAAATTCAGGAATTGCATAATATATATTTTGAAAGGAATTTCTATCAAAAAGTCATGATGTATGTAGCCAGAATAATGACCCAAAAGAGTAATGAAAATCATTTGAGTATTCTATATTTACATATAGTTCTTTACATGTAGTAAAGTAACAAAATCATACTTACATGTGCATGACATGTGTGAGAACAATTTTTATTGCATAGCTACAGGTGATGCTCACAAAAAAAATCAATTTTATTTATGTTAAAATATTGGATTATGAATATTTGGTTATAAGGCTTAAGTGATTGTTATTAAACTCATATTTATTATGTTGTTACAAAATTTCATGTATTAGAGGAAAGGGAATTGCTGAATTAAAAATGAAAATAGTAAAAGTTAATTAATCAAATTATTTAACTCTTTGTAGTAGATATATGATGAATATTTAGTTGGAAAATAAAATAGAACACTTACACATACTTCTTCACATATATTGGAAGATCACTTTGCTGATTTTTTAAAATAGAATATTTGAAGTCTCATGTCTTAAAAAGTTCTTAAGTTTGTATATTTAAGAACAAATAATTTAATTCAAAAACAAAATAAATTCAGGTCCTCTTATGCCATTTTTGTCCTCTGGCCAAATAATGCAATAAATATTAAGTCAGTTCATAAAAACCTGAACATGGACCTTGTTAGTTTGAAAATATTCAGAAAAGATTGTTAAAAACATGTTGAGAGAAGAGAAATTATAAATCAGTAACATCAATACACATTCGTCTTGAGGGGATCTTGAAAAGTTTTACTTGAGAAACTCTAGATGAAAGTGATAGATAATAAAAGTTAAAGTTTTCAATTAACTAATTAATTTTTGTTGACACATATTTTTTATGAATAGTACTTTCTTGTACTTGGCAATGTCACGTTTGGGAAACATTAGAAAAGAAATTTTGATATCCTCCAAACCCATGAATCTATCATTTACTATCAAATTGATCAAGAAATTGAACAGTAATCAAACTGTTGCCCTTTTGAAAACTTTTGAATGTTATTTAAATAAGTAAGGTTCCTTAAAGGATTTCAAATGCTAAGTCCTTCAATGTGTGAAAGGTATTCTTACATCTAAAAATCTTTAGAAAATGTTTTCATATGCATCTTGTATTAAGCTACATTCTACATAAAATTATTATTTTTATAACTGTAAAATAGATTTATTATAATATCTACAGTATGGTCAATTTGAAGGAACCTTGCATTCAAGTGAAGAGGGTATTCCTGTTAATATGCTAGTATTTTGTATTATTATTTTATATTTTTTGTGTTGATTCTTGATAAAATGCCCAATATCTTTTATTCTTGAAAATACCACAGTACTCTGTTCTTTGCCTAATGATATTTCCAGGGTATTGTAAAACGTGCCAATCAAGAACAATTTTTTGCAGAACTTACCACCATTATCAAGAGTGGTGAGAATAATGCCAAACACCCCAGCAATGGTAAGAAGTGCAGCTTCAGTATTTTCTTGTGGATCCAACACTCTACCAGAAGATATATTAACAACACAGAAACTTCTTGAAGCTGTGGGATCGTGCCATGAAGTTTCCGAATCAATTTTAGATCCTATTACTGCTCTCAGTGGTTCTGGGCCAGCTTATGTAAGCATAAAATTACACTTAAAATATATCTGAACATCTGGAATATAACTAATATATTTCAGGCACTCTGCTTAATCAGCTATAGCTTTTCATTCTGTAGTACATGAAGAAACTGTGAACTTTTTAAAAATAAAACTGTATAAGAATAGACATATTTTTTCTTTCAAATTTCTATTAAATGTTGATGACTATTAATTTATTTTTCAGCTTTATGTTATAATTGAGGCAATAGCAGATGGTGGAGTGAAAATGGGTTTACCCAGAGATCTGGCCTATCAGTTAGCAGCTCAAACAGTATTAGGTGCTGGGAAAATGGTACTGGAAACCAAATTGCATCCAGGACAATTAAAGGATGACGTCACATCTCCTGCAGGTATTTTTTAGATGAATGCTCCTTCTTTCCTTGCTTAGATTTGAAATTAAGTTCAATGCTCTTTGCAATGAAATTTTCTGTTTGTTTGTTTTTGTCATCTCTTACAAGCATTTATAATTTCCTATCAGGTTCTACTGCAGCAGGTCTACACTACCTAGAGAAATGTAAGATACGTTCAGCACTCATTGGTGCGATAGAAGTTGCAACAAAACGATGTCAGGAAATGAACAATATGTCATAGCATTTAAGTTATTTATTTGGCCTTATAGTATAAATGTAAGATATGTATTGTAGACAAAAATAGTTTGTATATTTTTTAACGTTCTTTGATTTTAAAAACATGCAATAACTAAAGATAATTAAATTGTATAAAATTTCAAATATGAAATGTTTTAATATTTTCTGAATATCCTTTATTTCAAATAATTAAGGCTTGAATAGTCCTATTACATGTTCTATTTGAGGATACATCAATCCAGAACAGTGGTGAGGCATGGTACTTTTGTATAGTTAATGCTAGATTTTCCGTGTCTGAGACTATCATTTTGAAGCAAAATTGAAATTGCTCCAGAAATCTCCGGATTGATGGCAAATTCATCCAATTCAGTGACTGTTGTAGAAATCCACTTTCTCTCCTATGGATTTCAGGAGTTCTTTTTCAGTTAATATCAGTGTCAAACTGCACATTCACTCTTCTCCTGTTTATCTTTTATAATTATGTATTATTTCTAAAGCAAAAAGAAGCATTTCAATAGATGCTGTTGAAGATGGTATAGTGCAAATTAATTTATCTAAATGGAACATTTCCTTAAATATCTAGTTAAAATTTTCTTCTTTTAAAAGCTTTACCAGTTTTACTTGTTTGCTTTACTTCATAAGAGGAAAAAGAATTGTAATCATGTGCCGAAAAGTTATGGGGTTTTCGACAAAAAAATTCTTATTGTCCACTCCTCGTAACGAACTAAAGGTACTTTCTCAGCTTTTTTCTTTCTCACATTTTTCACATTCTAGACACACTTTCTTGCATTTTTCAAAATTGCAAATTTATGGGGTTATCGGGTTATGGGGTTATTGGCAAAGTTATGGGGTTTTCGACAAAAAAATTCTTATTGTCCACTCCTCGTAACGTACTAAAGGTACTTTCTCAGATTTTTTCTTTCTCACATTTTTCACATTCCAGACATATTTTCTTGCATTTTTCAAAATTTGCAATTTTTCAAAATTTAGTCATTAATTGTGGCATTGTTTTAAGTGTTACTTATGCTATCCTTGGCAAGAAAATGAAAAAAAAAAAAAAAATTGGAGCATTTTTGCAGAAATTTTTTTTTTATATATACTAAATTGCATTAATTTCAAGCATAAATTACGCAAAAAAGACTCCTTTTTCAAAAAATTGTACGTGGTCTTTTTTTAAGGAGCTGATTTTTAGAACAGATTTTGTTTAAAGCAAAAATCTCTACCTTCAATTTTGTAAATTCGAAATTATATTTCAATTTTCAAAAATACACTGTTTGCTGGATGTGAGACTAGAGCCATTTATACTGGCCTTTGACACATATGAGAAGGGAATTAAAAAGAAAATTCTTCGAGTTATTTTTGAGGGAAAAAATGTTTTAAAATATATACAAATTCCTTATATTTCACACAAAATTACTAAAAAAAATTCTCATATTTTCAAAAATTGTGCATGATCTTATTTCTAGATCTGCCTTTAAGTATCAAATTTTATTAAGGAAGAAAATCTGCAATAATGAATTTGTAGAAAGACACCAAAAGCAAATGAACTTTTGCAATTGTTCAGAAATCAGGGATTTCAATGAAAATGAGACCTGCGCCATTCTTTTAAGCGTCACTTGTTATATGTGTGAAAATAATTGAAGAAAATTTGCTGCGGTTTTTGTAAAAAGTTTTTATTGTTATTTGTGTTAACTTCAAGCAGAAATTATGCAGGCCACTCGTTTCTATTTTCCCGTATACGTACGTATATACGGAAAGTTATGTAATAATCCGGAAAATCGATTTCGATATTTCAACGGAAATACGTTTGGCGGTCAGCTGATCCCGTAAAAGTGGTTCTTTTCGAAACGTCAGTTCGTCCGTCTGTGTATACCACTAGCGCCTAAACCATACGTAGGATTTTTTTCAAATTGAAGAAGCCCCGCCTACCTGGCTCGAGTCGAATCCTTGAGGTTTTGAAAAAGTTCTTTAAAATTTGGGGTTACTTTACCTGAAACCCCCCGGACATTTTCAAAATTTTCTCAAAAACGAGTCCAATTTTTTTCGTTAAATTTATTGTAATAATAGACTAAAATACATTTATAAAGATGGCATAGGTCCGATTTTCAGGTTTCACACTAAATTTTCGTTAAGTTCTTGGACCCTTCAAATAATATTTGTTCTCCATTCTCTTTCTGTAAGGTCAGGTACATTTTTTGAAAAATTTAGTAGTTTTCGCGCAATATTGCGAACAATATGAATAATTTTTTTAAAAAATTACAAGATTTTGTCAAAACCGGCCCCAAAGTTTTTCTTTTAATTTTTTTAGGGATAGTGCTAAATGCACTCTATAAGGTGACATAAACACCATATTGCTATATTATTTTGCTTTATCAAAAATTACAAAAAGTAATTTTTTTACTTGTCTCTTGCTTTAATATTTATCTTAGCGTCAAATATGTTCACATTATTATATTTATGAGTACATTTGCTTTAAATAATGTCATATAAAGTTTCTCGAAAACTAAACCATTTCCTGTGAAAACTAGCTCAAAATTCAGCATTTTCAGAAACTTCATTTTCTCAAAAATGGCTCCAAAGTTTTCTTCAAACTTTTTAGACCGACAATGCTAATTGCATTCTTCAATAGGACGTAAAGTTCATTTTGGGTTATTCTTTTATTTTCTGAAAAATTACACAATGTATTATTTTACTTGTCTCTCACGTCGTTAATATTTACATTAGTAGCAATTTCTTTACATTACTGTATTTATGAGTACGTGTACTTTAAGTAAAGTTTCCCGAAAACTCAACAGTTTTCCGTGAAAATGAGCTCAAAATTCCGCATTTTCAAAAACGCTCAAACATTATTTTCTCCTAAACGGCTCCAATTCTTTTCTTCAAACTTTTTCAACAGCTAGTGCTTATTACACTGTTTAAGATGACATAGAATTAATTATACTGCATTCGTTTATTTTTTTAACAAAATACACAAATGTAATTTCTTTAACAGATCTCTCACACCGTTAATATGTACATTTCCACCAATTTGTAAACACTATTGTATTTGTGAGCTCAAGTACTTAAAATGACTTCAAGTGAAGTTTTTCGAAAACTCAAATTTTTTCTGTGGAAAGGAGCTTCAAATTTCAAATTTACAGTAGCGCTTAAATGCCGTTTTCTTAGAAACGGCTCCACATTTTTCAAAGAAAATCGTCCTTTAGGACGAGGTCTCACTGTTCTTTCACATTCTTAAAATAATATTTCTATTCTCCTAAACCGACAAATTAAGAAAATTTAAAAAAAAAAATACTTTGGGCGGCGAGAGATGACAACTGGCAAGAGTATGTGGCAAGTCCGAATAGCTAGCCGAGACCAAAGGAAATCGAAAACTAATAGGGAAAGTCTGTGCCATTCAGTAACACTAATAGTTGTTTTTTTTATGTGTCGCGTCTTCAATTAACGCAACGCGTTCCCAAGCTCCGCGAGGCCACGCCACAGTAATCCTCCATTATTATATGCGGGAGTAATCCTCCATTAATTCATATGTCATGTCATATCAGTCTCGTGTCGTTGCGTCAGTTTTCAAGGGGATTGCCGTCTCCGGCGGCGGCGATGGTGTAACGGTTAGCGTACTGGTCTGTTGTACCCAAGTTGGCGGGTTCAAACCCGATCGAAGCCGTGGATTTTTAGGGCGACAAAATCCTTCGTACACCTTCCTTTGGAGGGGAAGTAAAGCCGGCTGTCCCATGTTCGTAGATTTACTTGCATGTAAAAGATCCTCAAGCCTAAATGACGCCTCTGAGCTAAATTCAAATCGCCTGTTTCTCGCCCAAGAAATACCTCCTTTCTCTCCTAGTTGGTGAAAGGAGCGTAGCGAAATTTGCGTGGTCAGACGGAAGAGCGGGCCTGATGGCCCGAGTCTCGCCACGTAAAATAAGGCAAATTCAATTCAATTCATCTCCGCGGGCGCGCCACCAACTACGTCACTACTCCGCGGCCGGAGTTGGGAAGGAATTAGGATTGGAATAGGGTTCAGGACACTTCACAGGGTTTGAACTAGCCCCTGTGAAGCATGCAAACTCGTTTTGTCGTAACATATTTCACATGAGGTTCTACGGGGATTCTACGTGAATTGAATCATTGTTTGTTTGTTTTTAAGATGTGCATTTCGTAATTCAAAATCTCGAAAATTGCAAAGGTTAGAAATAATGCGAGAAAGTACTTGCACCAAGAGCGTTTTTTATTTTGTGGGGCGGGATTTGTCGTTAAGTGTTGCAGTTCAATTAGAAACAACTTCACTTCCTTAAATTCAATTCATTTGAAAATATTTGTATGAAATGGTAGCAAACAAATTCTTAGTAAAATCTTCGTTTCACGATCAAAAGCAAAACATTTCAGCCAATCAACAGCTTCTTCAAATGTTAGTGAATGGCATAGTTTTTGTTTCAGCAAAACTACGATATCCTAAAATTCCGACATAGAGAATGGCAAAATGAAAAAAAAAGTACTAACAAACCCAGTAAATGAACTTATGAATCAGAACGCACAGAAAAACAATGCGCCTTTTCACTCATCAATTCACACTACGTCCTATTGGCGCGTTTAAAGACGGATAACCACCCAGACGCACTACACTTACGTGACTAATGACCTTCGTAGTTGATGCGCCTGGAATCACTAATGAATCATTAGGTAGTAGTAGTCTGAATGTTTGAAATTACATTCTCGACTTTTTTTTAATATTGTTTGAGCATTTCCGAAAATGCCCATTTTTGAGCTCATTTTCTTTTCAGAAAGCTTGTGAATTTTCTATAAACTTCATAAAAAACGTTTCAAACATTTATTCTTACAAATACAATAATATAAAACGTTTGTAATGTGCTTGACGACGTGAGAAATATTTTTAAAAATTTACATTTTGTGGAATTTCTCATAAACCAGAAAGTTGCATCAAAATTGCGTTGATGTCATATTGAACAGTTCATTTAACATTATCCAGACAAAAAGTTTTTCGGAAAGAATTTGGATCCGTTTTTGAGAAAATCATTTCAATTCATGAAGGTCTTCCTGATTTTCCGAGAGAGGTTTGGCTGAGTCTGTTTTCAAAAGTTCACTGAATTTGAATCAACACTTCACTTCGTTCACTTTCCAAATCATTTGGA